TTTTCCCCTCTAAAGGCCGGTAAAGTGTCCGGTTCCCACCTTTACGGTTTTTCTGCTCGTAGAGGAAACTCTGCTCGGACTGAAGTGTCACCGAGAGAAGAGACGCGTTCCTGCGCGTGGAGCCGATAATCCACTTCCGGTGTCACTTTCACAATAAAAGGTCCGAGCAACAGGTTATTCCTGAGTTACGAGTTAAATAAATAAAAAAAATAACACGCTGGTTGAGATTAAATAAAAAAAAATAACACACAGGTTAGTCCTGAGTTACGAGTTAAATAAAAAAAAATAACACACTGGTTGAGATTACATTTAATTTAAAAAAATAACACACAGGTTATTCCTGATTTAAGAGTTAAATAAAAAAAAATAACACACTGGTTGAGATTACATTTAATTTAAAAAAATAACACACAGGTTACTCCTGATTTAAGAGTTAAATAAAAAAAAATAACACACTGGTTGAGATTACATTTAATTTAAAAAAATAACACACAGGTTATTCCTGATTTAAGAGTTAAATTTAAAAAATAACACACTGGTTAGATCCTGATTTAAGAGATTAAAAAAATGACACACTGGTTAGATCCTGATTTAAGAGATTAATTTTTTTTAAACACAGGTTAGATCCTGATTTTAAATATTAAATTAATAAAATAACACACAGGTTAGATCCTGATTTAAGAAATGAGAAAAAAAAAGTTAGATTCTGATTTTAGAGATTCAATAAAAAAAAAACACACTGGTTAGATCCTGATTTAAGATATGAGAAAAAAAAAGTTAGATTCTGATTTTAGAGATTCAATTTTAAAAAAACCACACTGGTTAGATCCTGATTTAAGATATTAGATTAAAAAATAACTCACAGGTTAGATCCTGATTTTAGAGATTCATTTTTTTTAAAAACACACAGTTTAGATCCTGATTTAAGAGATTAAATTTAAAAAATAACACACAGGTTAGATCCTGAGTTAAGAGATTTGAAAAATAACACAAAGGTTAGATCCTGATTTAAGAAATTAGGAAAAAAACTGGTTAGATCCTGATTTCAGAGATTAAATCAATAAAAAACACCACACAGGTCAGATCCTGATTTTAGAGATTAAATTTAAAAAAATAACACACAGGTAAGATCCTGATTTAAGATATTTAAAAAAATACCACTTTGATTAGATTTTGATTTTAGAGATTACATTTTTAAAAAACACCACTCAAGTTAGATCCTGATTTAAGAGATTAATTCTTTTTTAAACACTGGTTAGATCCTGATTTATGATATTTAAAAAACCACCACACAGGTTAAATCCTGAATTAAGATATTCAAAAAATAACACACTGGTTAGATCCTGATTTAAGAAATGAGAAAAAAATTGAACTGGTTAGATCCTGATTTAAGACATTAAATTAATAAAAACACACACTGGTTAGATCCTGAAACTCATAAATCTGATTCTTCTGTCCTTTGAAAGAAGACAGAACTCCATTAAAACGTTTAGAAAAGCTTCTTAAGCATGGCAGCAAATTAGGAGAACTTTATTCTTATTATAAAAGAAATAGCTCTTTTTTTATTGTACCGTTTACAGCAATAAGGCTGAAAACACCAAAACAAAGCAGCCACCACCGTGCTTCACAATGGGGACGGTGTCCAAGGGTTTAAAGCTCCCTCTTTTTTAACCAAATGAAGAATCCCATCATTATGGCCAAGTAGTTTAATTTTTAATGTGGGAGCCATCTTGCATTTTTACTTTGAGTAGTGGTAATTTGTTTATTATGAATTTGTTTACATTAGTGATAGTTTCATATTTTGGTAATATTCTTTTTGCAATTCGTCTAGTTAATTGCTTTGCTTTATGTTTAGTCTTTATTTGGTCAATTTTATTAATTGTAGTAAAAGGCAATGTTGAAAAGGCAGATAAATTAGCTAAAAGGGCTTTAGAGGGGGAAATAACTATTTCAATTCCTTTTGGGAAAGGGGAAGGGAAATCACTTATTAAAAGTAAAGAAATGGAGGAATGGCAAAAAATATGGAATGAAGATAAAAAAAGGAAGAAGATTATATGAAGTGTAAAAGTCAGTTCGAATTCAAAGCATTAATGAAAAAAACAGAAGAGAAGAAATAATAATTAGTAGATTAAGAATAGGGCATACCTACTTAAATGACATACTTTATTTAATAGGGAGAAAAAATGAACTGTAAGTCATATGAACTCGAAAGGGAAGAATTAAAGAGAATAGTTAGAAGTATAGGGCATGAATGGAATCTTAAAGGTATATTAGGAAATGAAGGAAACATAACAGATATTCATAAATTAAGGAAAGCATTGTTTATCTACCTTAAGAATACAAAATTAAATCATTTTCTTGCCTGCGTACGATACCTGCCCAGGGTGCCAGAAGTTGTGGTTTGTTTTATTTTAAGTTTAATTTAATTTTCGTTAAAAGTTTGTTTGACAAACGGCTGCTACATTTAGTTTAAGTTGATGTGTTAGAAATGAGTTATTTTGCGACTGGATTAAATATACAGAATTTGATTACATATTCTACCATTTTAACCAATTTTTTCTTTCATTTTTACCATCAATTCCCCCCTCACTTACCTCCTTTCTTCCATTGAGTTGTTTTACTGAAGTCCTCCCCAGATCTGAAGTATCCAGGGCTACTACAGTTAGCAGGTGTTAGCTTTTCTGATGTAAAAATGTAAAAACAAACCCTTATACTGTCAAGATTTTGTTTTAAAATAGAGATATTCATATTAAAACTACATGCTAAAACCCCTAAAGATGAGTTCCTCCTCACAGAAAACTTGAGTGTTTGTTTCCAGGGGAAACTATTTGACTTTGTCTGATTAATTCATGCATTGAGTTGATGTAATCTTACATATTAGATCATTTTTAACCACTTTTTTTTTATTTTTACTATCAATTACCTCCTCACTTACCTCCTTTCTTACGTTCAGCTGTTAGTGTTTTACTGAAGTCCTCCATTTAAAAAGCACCTTAAACAGTTTCTTAAAAGTTCCCAGTCATGCAATCACTAATTTTATTATTGTAATGTCATTGTCTGAACGTGTCTTGACTGATTTTGTTAAGGACCACAGATGTAAATTAGCAACTATGCTAGAATCTGGCTCATTTACAATCTGTACTGAAATGTAAGATTGTTTATTAATGAGCACTGTCCTGATTAAATAAATAAATATTCATATTAAAACTACATGCTAAAACCCCTAAAGATTTATTCCTCCTCACAGAACGCATGTTGAGTGTTTGTTTCCAGGGGAATCTTTTGGACTGCGCACCTGGATTCAGGTGGAGCTGCACTTACCCATTTCCACCACAAGGGGGCATCGAAGCTTTTTATTGGTCCAGATCAGTAATCCCCAAACACCAGACTGTAAACTGTAACCAGTCCT